AGGAAATGAAAAACGAACTACTAGCACAAGGAGATTATAACGTAATTCTTGTCGACTGGTCTGTCGGCGCCGATGAATTTTACACATCTGCTGCATTCACCACGATCATTGTGGGGAAACAGACGTCAACTCTCATAAATGCAATTATTGTAAGTCTACTATAATAAAGAAAGATTTATCGTAATTTCGTATATAAATGTGTGGGATGGCACTTCCATTAGAATTGGACTTCGGAAGGGTTAATCTTTTATAATTATAAAAAAAAAACTGCACGAATGTTGTCTTTATTTTTAAGTAAACACATGAACGTGAAAACGTTTAAAATAATGCTGCTTTTTGAGAATCTGATACATAATTTTAAATTGTGGATGTTTATAACAATAGGCAAATAAAGTAAAGTATAGTTCTTATAGTTACTGAAAATAGCTCAAAAAATTGCATACAATATTTTTTTATAACAAGCTTTTTAAAAACCTACGTTTAGTATATATATATATATATATATATATATATATATATATATATATATATATATATATATATATATATATATATATATATATATATATATATATATGTATATATATATATATATATATATATATATATATATATATATGTATATATATATATATATATATATATATATATATATATCAAGTTACATCCAGCTAAGTGAAAATGTATCGGTATTTTATTTTTAGTAAAAAGTAATTGTAAGTTATATTTTTAAAATATGAATGTTAAATTTAAATGTAAATAATTAGCTTCTTTAAATATATCATATTTATTATTTTCTACTCGAAAAGTGACTTTTTATGTTAACCTTTAAAATCAAAACGTAATGATCCTTTAAAAAAAAGTAATATGTTACATTCTTAAAACAGCAGTTAATATACTAACATATTGATTATCTCTGACTAAAGGACCCAATTAGTCGGAACTAGGGACTTTTGGAGTTAGTAATCATACACTCTCTCGGTCGTCCACGTCGTTCCCTACACCCTATAGTGATAATTAATTTCTAATGACTAATGATGTAAATAGATATGCATTTATACAACTTATTAACACTAACAGATTTAAGAGACTGAAGGACTGGTAATCCAAGACAAACTAACAAGGACATTTTCAATCATTGAAATGAATTTTTTTAAGTAATAGTTGAAAATAATATTAATAATCATAACATTTGCATTACGAAATAGAGGACACATAATGTTCCGGCAAAAGACTTCCACATCATCGGCCACAGCCTGGGTGCTCATGTTGCTGGGAACGCTGGTCAGGGAGTTGTCGGCCTTGGGAGGATTTCAGGTACAATGTTCTTTAACATTACTATTGTTCATTTGTACAAATAGTAATTTTTTTCAGAATATTCGTGACGAATTCCCAAAAGACACTTGCCCGAATGCCGTTTTCCCAAATGGACACTTGCCCACGTGGGACAAATGTCCGAAAGGGGACTTGCTTTGAACGTAACATATACATATCGATATTTTAAACATTCCAAATTATATTGTTAAAATAATTAAAACAGAGAAAACGTATTGTTTACGTAGACAAGAACTGATGATTATCCACAAGGTAGATTTGTATAATGTGTAACCTTAGAAACGTGAATGATTAATATAGAATTTTACAACAGGTCTGGATCCAGCAAGTCCACTGTTTTCTGATCTTTCGAATGCAGTTAGACTTGACCCTACTGATGCTTCGTTTGTGGACGTTATCCACACATATATAGGAGTTTTAATTCCAGATTCAGGTAAGTTGTCAACAATTTTCCTTTTTGAAGAAATTAATGGCATATAAAAGAAATTATTTATCAACAAATGTATAAGCTAGAAAGAAAAAAGAACCCGATTCAAATTTTCAACATCTACGTTATTCAAAAGTGATGCGAAATTTATATTAAAGATTTTATAAAATATGCTCCATCATGAAAAAGTTCACAAAACCTACTAGATCGAAGTTAATTTTCTGTGATTTGAACATAGTATACGTGATATTTATAGTGTTATTGACTTATAATTTTCATATACAGGTATCGGAATAACTGATCCTATGGGTCATGTTGACTTCTACCCAAATTCTGGATATAACCAGCCTGGCTGCTTCGACTCCACAATAAAATCAATCAAAGATTCTGGATTGAGCGGTAATGAAAAAGAATTCACAAATAAGTAGCTTATATATACACTCAAACAAGAACAAACCGGACAGACACAACTCAACACACGAGGATTTAACAGGGGGAGAGAGCAAGTGGGAGAAAGAGAGAAGGACATAGAGTGGTGATAAATACAGTGACACACAATTATATTTTCAGTATTTTACTCATTTGAGAGCATGTTTTATTTTCTCAGGTGCGATGGAAGCGTTTAAATGCAGTCACAATCGCGCTTACAAACTGTTCACAGAGAGCATCAACTCCAGATGTCGCTTCAAGAGTTATCCCTGTGCTAAGAAGATTAGTTTGTGGTTCGGACTCTCTGTGAAAATTAACTTACCTTCGGAGTTTGGGCTGCTGTGTAACAGTTGTGACGGGAATGGCTGCGCAAACATGGGATTCTGGGCGGACAAAAACAGTGAACCCGGAATATACTACTTGAAGACATCTGGTCAAGCTCCATATTGTTTAAGTTAATAACGTAAAGAAAAAGCATCTTGGGTTCAGGCAATTGTTTGAGGTTTATATAAAGGGAAGCCCATACATTGGCTGGAATAAACATTAAATTTTAAATGCACAACCAGACACTGGAAACACAACTTTATTTTTTTATGATTTTATAATAAAAGTAAATTTAGATTTCAAAAAGAGAGATTGAGTCGTATCTACCGAAATACTTCTTTAATACGGCGTTTATTTCAACACCATTTAGAATTATGGTCCCTTTATAAATTATTTGTGTTTGATTCGTTAATTATTAAAATATTGAAAGTTAATATTTCAATTACGATTATAACATTTAAAATTGAATTGGCATACTAATATCTTTATTTCTTACTTTCACTTTGTCAATAGTTTTATCCTAATATAAAACTCAAACTGGTAGTTTCATCTAGTGATTTTTTTACCTGAAACAACCATGTAGGCTACCTAATGATAATTTACTATTTTTAGAATAAAATTCATATTATACTGAGTGGATTTAAAAAAACAACAACAATAGTGTGGTTTAGCAGGTTAAAGGAATGAAGAGGGTTGGTTGTGTTGTGTTGTTTCGTTTATAAAAAAAAACAAGTAAAATGCCAACAGCAAGATAGGAGCGCTCAATATTAAATACTTAATTGCAAACATCGACCAGAAAATAGGCGCATCCATTTCACCTTCATTAATTTAGTTCTTGTCACTTATCGTCCTTGTTTAGTTTAATTTTTTTTTTCACGAATAAGGAACAACTATCCTAAAATTGCTCCTTTTAGAATTCGATTCTGGATTTATGCAATTTATACTATAAAAAAGAAAATCAAATTTCATACTGGACAAACTATGAAAAAACGAAACAAGTGAAAAGATAAAGTAGCAAATTAATGGGAAATGTAGTTCGTGATTGTATGGGGATCAAGGGGAATTGTTGATGAGAAGGGGAAGTTTGCAGATGAGGTGGGAAGGAAAGGAGATGATGAGAAAATTGGAATCTAAAAATATCACACGGGAAGCTGGACGATACTGAACTGTGATTAAACATGAAAATTACATAATTATCTAACATAAATAACTATCAGAAAGTAATAAATACAAAGCCTTAAAAATAATAACATAAAAAATGAGGGTTCCTATATCGTATTTGAAAACTTTAGGAAAGTTGAAGGTCCTTCAGATACAACAACTTTATACTCGCTATGTACCGTTTTATTTACATGGACGTTATACCTGGTTTTCTGAGAACTTTTGGACAATTTCCGCTAACAGGAAGTTGTACATGACTTTATGTACTGTTTGTTAAAATCAAGTTTTAAGCTGGAAACATATCTCTTAGGTAAACAAAATGCTTGAGATCAATTTATTTAACACAATACACCAGCGTAGCTGACTATTGAGGGTAAGCAGCAACTGACTACTCTGTATCAAATCATACACAATTTATCCACTTGACGAAGTTAACACAGGCTCAATATTAATTTTCGCTATCATTTCAACTTGCCCATAGATTTCTTTCCCACTCCATTCGACCCTTTTGTGACTTGCCCTCACACTTACCCTCACACTTACCCTCACACTTGCCTTCACACTTGCCTTCACACTTGCCTTCACACTTGCCCTCACACTTGCCCTCACACTTGCCCTCACACTTGCCCTCACACTTGCCCTCACACTTGCCCTCACACTTGCCCTCACACTTGCCCTCACACTTGCCTTCACACTTGCCCTCACACTTACCCTCACACTTACCCTCACACTTACCCTCACACTTGCCCTCACACTTTCCCTCACACTTACCCTCACACTTGCCCTCACACTTACCCTCACACTTTCCCTCACACTTACCCTCACACTTGCCCTCACACTTACCCTCACACTTGCCCTCACACTTGCCTTCACACTTGCCCTCACACTTGCCCTCACACTTGCCCTCACACTTACCCTCACACTTACCCTCACACTTGCCCTCACACTTGCCCTCACACTTACCCTCACACTTACCCTCACACTTACCCACACTGCTTCATTTTCTCACACCACTACCTGTCACTACTTCCCTAGTCCTCCACTTACCTTTACACTACTCCTCACTACTTCACTATCGCTAACTTTGCTTTCCTTGCCAACACCTCGGGTACATTCTACCAATTCTAGTACTAAGTCTTTGCATTCTGTAAAAATGTTTAATTTTATAATGACTTATGATAGACACTAATCTTTTTTTTTTGGTGCTTTTAGATTTATAATTTGTAGATTTTAAGACGAAATATATTTACATTGGTGCGAGATTTATGCTGGCGCCATCCTTTATTGCTCTGTACATTCACACCGGACACAGAAGTTAAAATAATGAAACTTAAAACAGCGAACAACGATGATTGTAGCATCTTGTTAGATCAGATTTCTGGTTCAAAAATAGATGAAACAGTTGTAGAAAAAAATTATAGACGTCATCTAACAATTGTTACCGAAAAGAAAATTTGACAAAACGTTTTAAGAATTGATAACAAAAAAACTATTGTAAAAGCAATTCAATAAGTGTTAGACTGGAATTTAAACAACTGTTAGGTACATGTACACCCGAAGGTAATACACCTGCCAGCTACACATATGTACACAAGAATGTTATAAACCCAGCATTCATCCATATGTGGGCCTACACCTTGATGTTATACACATGTGCATCTGGATTTGATACACATGTACACATGGATGTTATACACATGTACAACTGAATGTTATAAACATGTACAGCTGGCTATTATACATATGTACACCTGGATGTTATACACATGTACACCTGGATGTTATACACATGTACACCTGGATATTATACGCATGTACACCTGGATGTTATATACATGCACTCCTTCATGTGATACGCATGTGAACATGACTAATGTAAAACCTACTATGAAATGTAAACTTACCAACATAAAATAGACTTGTATGTAGATGCCACCTTTCTTTGGTGTAACAAGTCTATCATATGGCATTGTACTTTACCTAAATACAGCTGGAGCGTATGGTTCATTGCTGCGCAAAGGGTAAGCCAACCAAACAATCACAAGTGCTTATTTTAATTATCTTGTTATTTAATGATGATTTTTTAATTATAATTTCAGGTTAATGTTTTTCGGATGTGTGCGATGGAAAAATAAAATGCTGATGTTAATTGTTTTCAAACATAAAAAGAAAAAAAATATCCCGAAAATTCTTAAGTATTCTCAAATACAGGAACCTAAAACGATAAGGGCTATCTGAAAATATGAGATCTATACATTTATTTACTTGAACATCAGGTGCTTTTAAAATGTGTATTTAATGTACAACGATACATTGGACTGTATTGTATTTGCTTCATCTAATATTTATCTCTTTATAACTTTATAGACTCTAGACTGAAACGTAAATTAGATCTAACGTCTGACTCTAAATTAAATTGTACAATATGGCAAATCGCCTAAGTCAAGAGTCAATCAGAAAACTGTTTTTATTTTAAATTGTACCATTGTGACATAGCAGAAGTAATTCTTAAAGTAATTAAGTTTTTTCCAGTTTTCTCAAAACAAGAAAACGACTTAGGCAATTGTGTTATGACCGTGACGATGTGAGATTGATAGTTTGAGGGATAGTTATAGAGATAAAGATAAGGATTATTATTTGTAAAAAATGTAAATAAAATCCTTAAGACAGTCATTTTTTGTTAATGTTAAAATCGACTAAAAATAACCCAAAATACTGTAACTATTTTACTTTGAGATATTTTGTCTGAGATATTTTGTCTGAGATCATTTGTCCACGGTATTATTTGTCCTGATATATTTTGTCCTGGTATCTTTTGTCCGTGAGATCTTTTGTCCGTGAGATCATTTGTCCCAAGATCATTTGTCCAGAAATCATTTGTCCTGAGATAATTTCTCCTGAGATCATTTGTCCTGAGATCATTTGTCCTGAGATCATTTGTCCTTAGATCATTTGTCCTGAGATCATTTGTCCAGAGATCATTTGTCCAGAGATCATTTGTCCTGAGATCATTTGTCCTGAGATCATTTATCCTGAGATCATTTGTCCTGAGATCATTTGTTCTATGATTATTTGTCCAGAGATCATTTGTCCTGAGAATATTTGTCCAGAGATCATTTGTCCAGAGATCATTTGTCCAGAGATCATTTGTCCTGAGATCATTTGTCCTGAGATCATTTATCCTGAGATCATTTGTCCTGAGATCATTTGTTCTATGATTATTTGTCCAGAGATCATTTGTCCTGAGAATATTTGTCCAGAGATCATTTGTCCTGAGATCATTTGTCCTGAGATTATTTGTCCTGAGATCATTTGTCCTGAGATCATTTGTTCTATGATTATTTGTCCAGAGATCATTTGTCCTGAGATCATTTGTCCAGAGATCATTTGTCCTGAGATCATTTGTCCTGAGATCATTTGTTCTATGATTATTTGTCCAGAGATCATTTGTCCTGAGATCATTTGTCCTGAGATCATTTGTCCAGAGATCATTTGTCCTGAGATCATTTGTCCTGAGATCATTTGTCCTGAGATCATTTGTCCTGAGATCATTTGTCCTGAGATCATTTGTCCTGAGATCATTTGTCCTGAGATCATTTGTCCTGAGATCATTTATCCTGAGAGTATAGGGAAAAATCCACCTTTCCAAACACTCACACCTGTCCGGTTTGATTGGACCTGCTAACTAAAGTGTCCACAACACGACTCAACACAGTAAAGCACAAACAGTCATTAGTGAGTAAACTGTCCTTTAGATCCTAGCTAACAAACGTGTGTCAGGTGCCATTCACAGTTGGGTAAACTCAGGAACGCTGTACTGAAACAAATCCAGGATTCGAACTCGAGAACTTCAGGTTAGCAGTCGTATGCTCTACTATCCGACCACAACTTCCTCCATCATTAATAAGCATATTTCAAGTTTTTGGAAGTTGCGTAGCTTGAAAATATTATTTGGACATATGTACAAAAGAATGTTACAATTCACGATGAAGCACCAGTGATAGCGAGCCAGAAATGTAACTCTGTGCAGTATTACTAGATCTCAGTGGCGTAGCGAGGTCGGGTGTCACCCGGTGCGGCACTTAATAGTGTCACCCCCCCCCCACCCCCACACCCCCCCCCCCACCCCCCCCCGAGGCGTAGCGATTCTTCCCGAGGAGAAACTTTCAATTTTCGATTTGCACCCCTCTCAAACTTTCAATTTGCACCCCCCTCCCCCTCTCAAACTTTTCTCTATTTATATTACTATTTTTTAACTTGGTGTCACCCCCCCCTAAATGGTGTCACCCGTTTCGGTCCGCACCCCCGCCCTCGCTACGCCTCTGCTAGATCTATATATAGTATCTCCCCACTCAGCCATGAGAGTACTTGCATTGGAGAAACATAATTTTAACTTAACATTCAATGTATGGTAATCTGTGATAGTGGTCTTAAAAAGGCTTAGGAAAATTATATTAAATATCCCATTTTCTATTTGAAGTTTTGTAATAATTTCAACAATTGTTTTATATTATGTTTTAATTATGATGAAGTCATAGGGCGATTATTAAGTAAATATATATATATATATATATAGAATCAACTGTACATACTCATTCAGTCTGTTTCAATTTGCAGTACCCTAGATTAGACAGGTTAACATATATTGATTTTATATTTTGAACTATGTTGAAGGTGAGGAAAATAGCTGGTTTCTTCTCTTTTTCTGATATATATAATCAGAAGAAAAATATTAAAACAAGTGATAAATTGTCTAGTGTTAACTTTGTATCTAGTGTCCAAACAAACCTTTGTTGTCTAACCTTCAACTACCTGGTATGTTCAGGCATTACAGCATCACAGGAGTGTAAACCCACCCCAGCATTCAAAACTCATTGGTTAACATACTTTAAACATACAGATAGTGTTGTAGATAGATTATTTTTAAATATATATATATAGATATTGACATGACAATAATGACATAGGTTTTAGCAATTTTAATTGATTTAAAATTACAATCAACATTGACATTTCACTTTAGAAGAAATGATATTTATATATATTGACATTAGTCTTAGTAAATTTCATTGGTTTAAAGTAACAAACAATTGATACTTGATAGTTCACTAATGTAGAAATAAAATATAAACATAGATCTATATACATATTGAGTAATATTGACATACGTTTTAGCGATTTTGATTGATGTAAAGTTATAATAATCCATTGATATTTCATTAAAGTATAAATAAAATATAAATATACATAATACATACATATCAACATGTTTTAGCAATTTTGATTAATGTAAAGCTACAATCCTTTGACATTTAACTTTAGTATAAATTATATTATTTAATATTAAATTAAAATACAACTAAGCATAAATCATGCTAAAATAAGATAAATATTGTTAAAATATAATTATTGCAGCTGTTATATTACTTATTTTGTAGCACTTTGAATATAACAGTAGAAAACATTCATTTCATTGTTAAGATATGTCTTCTCTCAAGACTCCATTCATAGAAAACTCGCTGCATCAACAAGACTACACCACACACTAAAACTAGACATTCTAGATACATTAGTAACATCTATGTAACACATAATAACTAACAAGACATAAAAAACCAATAAAAATAGCAGCAGATTTAGTCTTTTTTCCCTTCAAATTTAAAATGTGTATGCTATATAACTGTTTGGCATAAGTTAAGAAAATGGGGGAGAGTGTCAAACATTAAAAACTAAAGTTGTGAGTGTTAAGGAATTTATGATTTATCTCCTGACTGAATTTTATAATGACTAGTTTAACTATTTTTTAAAAAAAAGTATTTTATGACAAATATTACATTCATAAGGCTTTTTTTTCTGCATGAACCTTTTTATATGTATTCAAACTAGATTTTTGAGAAAATCTATTATGACAAAGTTCACATTCATAAGGCTTGTACGAACTCTTCTGTGTACACTTAAATTAGAACTCTGAGAAAAACTTTTATGACAAATACCACATTCATATGGCTTATCTCCAAAATGAACAATTTTATGTTGCAGTAGACCCTTCTTCTGCGCAAAGTTCTTATGACAAACATCACATTCATTTGGCCTTTTTACTGAATGAACCTTTTTATGTGTGCTTAAATTAGAACTTCTAGAACACCTTTTATGACAAACATCATATTCATGGGAATGTCATGTTGGGTTATGCATCAACAATAGGTGAAAATGTAAATTCTGTTTTTATGTCTTTAGAAGATGAAAATATTGTTGATAGATGTGATTTAAAATCTTCAGAGCTTAAAAATTCTGTTAATTTGTTTGACTGTTCATCTACAATAGAGAAAATTGCAGCTGAATGTTCTGTTTCCTCTTCCATGCTTCTCTGCTTTTTATAAATCAACTGATGAATAAAATTGTTATAAATGTTAAAGTGAAAAGAAGTGATTTTATAGTCGAAACAAAGTATTATTAATGAAATGGCAGAATTAATGGCATAAGGTCTGTTGATCTATCCACTCACTTTTCACTCAATTTGATGTGATCTAAACATTACCAGTATTGCCAAAGCTATCAATAGTTCAGGACTACAGATTAATACTCTATATATTCTTCAAATACGCAAATTTTACAATATTGCTTATTTTAGCAAACCATAGATAAATTACCCAATGTGCTTAGATATCCAGTCACGGTTATATATATTGTCAATTGGTTGACAGAAAAAAAAAAGTTTATTTCTTTGAAAGGAAATGAGAAGATGTAAGCAATTTGCATATTTCCTCTTCCATAAAACTTTATTAAAACAATGACAATTCTTCATGAAAAGTAGATTTTCTATGCCAAAAAAACTTTTTTAATTAATTTCGCTAAAATTCCTAATTTTTGAATTGAAAAAAAATCAGTAATGTTATTTTCTTGGACTATCTCTAGCCCTAACCCTAACTCCAACCCTTGGCCCTAAACTTAAGTAAGATATAATGCATACAAGAAATATAATATTAATGGCATGGCATTAGCACTAATAACAAAAAAAAAACCCAAGACAAGTTTTAAGCACATAACACATACTTGATAGCTTTTCATACTATCAATTCTGCCATGCAGTGCTTGAAATAATTAGTAAAAATTAACAATATATTAAATTAAACAAACCTATCTTGAAAATTCTAAAATAAACCCTTTCAATTAAAATTTCTAAAAATATATAAGCCTATATAAATAGAAGCTAAATATACCCACAAGATGTGAGAGGATATAAGAATGATGCATTTTCTCTATGTAGAGAATTGGTTGAATTACTGAGTTAAGAAAATTCGATGTATCATTAGTTCACCATTTGATGACCATAGATGATTCTTCTATAAGTTATAAAAAAAATGCTGCCACAAATTATGGACTAAATCAAGTGATTAGTCTAATGTCATTGTCAGCTTGGAACATTTTTGCATATCAATGATTTTGCAGTTCAACTATTTACATGTAGATTCTAGTAATTTTTTTTTCAATTTTAAAACTATTTAAACACTTTTTAAGTATTCATTCATTACTAACCCTAGACTTTTAATTTAGGTATGCATATAGCAAAAAAAATTAAGTGGAGGGAGCTTTCTGTGGCAGCCCCATTGGAATGGGCAAAAAAGTAAATGATATATACAAAGTAGAATAATTATTTTGCCTAATTATTAGGCGAGTGGGGTCGGCAATGTCGAGGTGGTAAAGCTCATGGTTGCTAAACTGAAAAGTCACGAGTTCAAACCCTCGGGCAGATGAGGCTCGTTAGCTGGGGACAGCCACTCTTCTAGAAGAGACAACTCCAAAATCAAACAACTGCTGCCTTGTAGTTTGTTCTTGGTTGGACAAAGGCTATGGAAGCAAATCCAAAAAAAAGCAGGCTGAAATCGGAGTCAATGGCCTCAATGAACATAACCAGTTGACACGTAATCCTTCCTTGTGATAGAGGGGTATCCATTCCAACAATAAAATTAAGAACGAAGAAGAATAATTAGAGGAGTATAAATAGTAAGTAAGTAAATTTCCCTTTCAAACCAGAAGGTCTACAGGGAAAGTGAAGTAGAGTTCACTTGTTTCTGTGACCTTGGCATATGAACAGATAGTGTGGTCAGCACTATGCCCAGCTGCCATTACTTACCCTAATGATATACTTATGTGAGTTAAACCTGAGACTTACAGGTTAGCAGTCTAGCTCTCTACAGCTAGACCAATCCAGCATTTATTCCATTGATCAAGTAGTGGTAAGAATGATGACTAATTCTTTTAAAATGATTACTGAAAATCAGTGCCTATCTGTAATTTATTTGTTTGTGAAGCCTGTTATTTCAAAAATAATTAATCAAAATATATAGACTTCTAGCCTATATAAAAATATATGGCATAGTTTTGAGAATAGTGTAGACCAGGGGTCTCCAAACTTTTCAGTCCAAGGGCCGCATTAACTATCAAATTTCAGTTCGGGGGCCAGTTTCTTCCAGGCATGTCGTGATTTTTCTGAGCAAAGTTCCTCAGCCATCACCAACAAACGTTTTTTCCGTGGACAAAAAGATCTCCGCGGGCCGGACGAGAGGACCTCGCGGGCCGCATCCGGCCCGCGGGCCGTAGTTTGGAGACCCCTGGTGTAGACCTACAATTTAACCTATGGGTAAGTGTCTAGTATATAAGGACTAGATTCTAAATCTGTCCTAACACTTACATTTAAATTACAAAACTATAGGTTCCCTATTTTAAATGAAAACAGGTTTGTTAAAGCATGAAGATAATAGTGTAGCAAATAATAGGTAAGGTTATTAGAAAAGAGCAGAAATTGAATTAATTAAACTTGTGTGGGTTTTCTTTCTAATGATAAATTTAGAACATTTACCCTAAATATTTCAGACAATTATCTTTTTGGCTGAAGTTATGCAAAAATGTCAAATGACACATGCACATATTATGATTTTTGTGCAGATCTAGATCTAAATCTAAGTGTTTATAGTACAGTGCTAATAAAAATATAGGAAAATCGGTGAAAAGTATTTAAGCTGTAACAACAGAGATAAATACATAATAAAACAAATTTAATGGACAAAACCTAGAATAGTCTAGAAATTATTTGAAAGGCCCATCAATTATTTTAATTTGTTTTAAAAGCATTTGTTTGTAGGCACAATGTTACTAAAATAAATATGGTTATAAAAAAGGTGACTGATTTTTGTTGAATTTAACTAAAATTGGATGTAGGGCCTATTTGATGATTTTAGCATTGACAGTAACTGAACAAAAAAACACCTGAAACAATTTGTTGTGTACATTTAATCACTGAAAATGACAACAAACATGGCTGAACTAAGTTATATGGTCAAAAAAAAATTATTTAGGCCCCTAAAAATTGTATTGACTTAAATAATTGACAAAGTTTTGAGTACAAATTAAATACTATAACATTTTTATTAAGTGTAATTTTGAGAGGATCGATCTCAGAGATCCATACAGCCAATCAAGATTTGTCTTACAAAAGTGAAACTTCGGAGTTCCTTTTTTCGTTTTTGCACCTGTTTTTAAACAGGTCTGATGCCCAAGTGGCTGTCAGCTGTCTGTACATTTTCTACCACACCTACTCTCATTGTTCTCTGAATATTTTTATCCCGTTTAAAGTTTTTTTTTACAGTATAATATTTGTTAAGAGTTTTGAAAATGAAATAACGTGTGTATGGAACTCAAGACAAGAGCCAAATTTTTACATCAAAAGAGCCTAACGCAGCTCGACGCAAGCCGACCCCTGTTGTATACTTTTCCACAAAAAAACCCTTTTCATTATACAAATATAAAAATTGATAAACTATGGCCCACTATTGGATAACCGCTAAATAAAGTTATGTGATGAGAAAAAAAATATAAAACGGTATTTAATAATAATTTGCTTTAGAATTAATTTATTGTGTTAAAAATTAATTAAATTGGTGTTAAAAAAGTTCCATTTCCAAACCTGACGGTCTTTTGGGCAAGTGAAGTAGAGTTCACTTGTTTCTGTGACCTTGGCATATGAAGAGATAGTGTGGTCAGCACTATGTCCAGCCGCCTTTACTTTCCTTAACGTGAGTTAGGTACCCATCAGAGTTGGGTGGACTCAGGGACGGTCTCTTGTAGCTTGTCTCTTGAATGACTTTTCAAGTGCACTTAAATAAGAACTTTGAGAAAATCTTTTATACATACATATGGCTTATAACCTGTAAGAACACATGTCATAACAAATTATTCTTCTGAGTCAAGTTTTTGTGACAAATCACGTTCATGTGGCTTTTCTCTATAAAAAATGTTTGTGTGTGAAGATAAACAAGAAATATGAGAAAACCTTGGATGTCAAACATTACATTCTAGTGGCCTTTCTCCTGAATCAACTTTATTATGTTGTCTTAAATCAGAACTTCGAAAAATCTTTTAAGACAAACATCACATTCATATTGCGTATCTCCTGAATGAATAATTTGATGTTGTAATACAACCATCTTAACCTTGAAGTTTTTATGACAAACATCACATTCATGAGGCCTTTTTCCTGAAAAATTTTTTTTAAATTAGAACTCTGAGAAAACCTTTAATGACAAACATCACATTCATGCGGCTTATCTCCTGAATGAACTTTTTTATGTCCTAATAGACCCTTCTTCTGCGCAAAGGTCTTATCACTAAATCTTTTGTGACAAACATGACATTCATGTAACCTTTCTCCTGAATGAATCTTTTTATGTGTTCTTAAATTAGAACTTTGAGAAAACCTTTTATGACAAACATCACATTCACATTGCTTATCTTCAGAATGAACAATTTTATGACGTTATAGATCCTTCATATCCACTAACGTCACATTCATGTGGTTTATCTCCTGAATGAATAAATTTATGTTGTAATAGACCCTTCTTATCACTAACTTTTTTGTGAGAAACATCACATTCATGAGGCCTTTCTCTTGAATGAATCTTTATATGTGTTCTTAAATTAGAACTTTGAGAAAACCTTTTATGACAAACATCACATTCATGCGGCTTATCTCCTGAATGAACGTTTTTATGTTCTCTTAAATTAGAACTATATGAAAATCTTTTCAGACAAACATCACATTCATGTGGTTTATCTCCTGAATGAACTTTTTTATGTTGTGATAGACCCTTCTTATCACTAAATCTTTCGTGACAAACATGACATTCTCCTGAATGAACCTTTTTATGTCGTAATAGACCCTTTTTCTGCGCAAAGTTCTTATGACAAACATCACATTCATGAGGCCTTCCTCCTGAATGAATCATTTTATGTGTTCTTAAATTACCACTTTGAGAAAACCTTTTATGACAAACATCACATTCATGCGGCCTTTCTCCTGAATGAATCATTTTATGTTGTCTTAAATTAGAACTATCAGAAAACCTTTTATGACAAACATCACATTCATATAGCTTATGTTCAGAATGAACAATTTTATGACGCAATAGATCCTTCATATCCACAAAATTTTTATGACAAACATCACATTCATAAGGCCTTACTTCTGAATGAACCTTTTTATGTGTTTTTAAATTAGATTTTTCAGAAAACCTTTTATGACAAACATCACATTCATATTGCTTATCTTGAGAATGAACAATTTTATGATGTAATAGATCCTTCATACCCACAAAGTTTTTATGACAAACATCACATTCATGAGGCCTTTCTACTGAATGAACCTTTTTATGTTTTCTTAAATAATAACTTTGAGAAAACCTTTTATGACAAACATCACATTCAAGTGGTTTCTCTCCAGAATGAATAAATTTATGTCGTAATAGACCCTTCTTATCACTAACTTTTTTGTGACAAACATCACATTCATAAGGCCTTTCTCCTGAATGAATCTTTATATGTGTTCTTAAAGTAGAACTTTGAGTATATCTTTTATGACAAACATCACATTCATATGGCTTATCTCCAGAATGGACATTTTTATGCATATTAATATTAGAACTTTGAGAAAATATTTGATGACAATGAACCACCTTATTTTTGTCCATAGACATTTGTAGATTTTCTTCAAGTCCATTTTGTTGTTTGTCCTCAAAAAATAAAAATTCTTTAGCTAAGTCTTGTTTTAAATTTTCAGTAGTTGACAATTCTGGTTTTAAATTTTCAGTTGAAAATGCTGCTGTCACAGGTTTTTTATTAATTTTTTCAATTGAAAATGTAATATCAGGATTAAAATTTTGAGAAGTATTAGATGACTTGTTGGGTTTTATATCCTGGAAATTAAAAAATGATAATTCTGGTTTTATGTCATCAGAAGTAGAAAATTCTGGTGTAACATCAGGTTTAACATCTTGAGGGTTTTTAAATGTCACATCAGGTTTTATATCCTGGAAATAAAACAATGTTGATAATTCTGCTTTTACGTCTTCAGAAGTAGAAAATTCTGTTGTAACATCAGGTTTAACATCTTGAGGGTTTTTAAATGTCATGTCAGGTTTTATATCCTGGAAATTAAAAAATGTTAATTCTGTTTTTATGTCTTCAGAAGATGATAATACTATGGTTGATATATCAGGTTTCAAATCTTCAGAAGATGAAAACTCATCTGACTGTATATCTACAGTAGATGAAACTGCAGATAACACATCTGTTTCCATCTCCATGCTGGATAGCATCTCAGAACTGATGATTAAAAAAACATAAATGTTAAACCAATGTAAATGTTAGCCAAAACAACTTACTACTAATAACATGGCAATAATTGCAACACATGCCAGACTTTCGTTAATCTGATAACTAATGATTACTTACTAAGATTTGATATGAAAATAGATGACCAGTTAAATGCAAATACATAAGAACTGCAGATTAATATCTTGAGCTACCAGTTATTTTTAAACTATTTATAAAAATAGAAATACTAAGATATTAACAATAACAAAAATCAAAACTTGATTTGCTATTGTTAGTTTTTAATTGTAAATAATAAGTGCTTAATCTTATCCAAATATGTAATAAAAGTTTAAAAATTAATTTTAATTACAGTTGTAAATTGTGATAAACAGCTTAATAAACCTTTGCTCTCTTCATGTAGCTTGGTACTAATTCGCACTAAATGTTTTTTTAATTTTGTTACAGAATAGGACTTGTAAGTTTTTGTTCTCTCTCACTTAAATTCAAATCCTGTTAGCCAGGGAGAGATAAAAATTTGAACCAAATCAATTGTTGTGAACAGGATTCCTATTGATAATTAAAAAAAAACATGGCGGCTTTAAAAATCATAAAAAGTTGCCATAAAGCAACATTTGCAATAACTTTTTTATTTGTATGACAGGGAACAAATATATGTGCTTGCATAAAAGTTTTGTGGCGGTAAGTATATGGATTTAATAATTTTTTTTTTCAAAATAAGTATAACAGTAAAAATATATAGGCATATAATTCTAGTGAAACGGGTACCCATGGTTAGTTTAATATAATCAACAAGCTACAGCAAACAAAAAGGTAGCTGACATATTATAATCATATATGTGAATAAAATTATACCTATATTCTTGCACATAATATGCTTTTAATTTGCTAGTATAACAAAAAAAGGGGAATTTTTTTTAACATATAGCAAATGTAAATGTTATGATTGAGTTGCCCACTAAGTTATCAAACTAATGATAATGTCTTAGCTTCTTTAATATGGACATAAGTATCAATTATTTTTTTACACTAAACCTGAAAATACTAGTTCAAGTGATGGAAAATGTTATAGACCTAGACCCGATAAGCTTAAATTAGAAGGAGTCTACTAAATATTTAAAAGGGGTTTTGAAATTACTTGAAAAAACATTTGAGCCAAAAATCACCACCTTGATAATAATCAAGCCACATCAATATGTATGCTTTTTGCTTAATAGTAGTAGACTGCTATTACAATTTGAATTTGTTACCTGTATCTCTCCCTCCCTCCCAAACAAGAAATGGTAGAAAGATCACAGTGAGTTCATTTCAGGTCAGAATATAGTAGGCCTAGAGCACATGTCACAGCAGGAACAAAAATGCTATTTAAGATTGGCCGTGACGTCATTGCGAATAGCAATTGTCCATGCTATGATGATTGCTCTAGGGCTGCTGATATAACTGAACTTACAGTGAACCCTCCACTTGTCAAGATTTTTTTTAACAAGAAAACGGGGCGGCGATTACGCTGGTGATGACGATGTTTGAAATTTGCCCACATTAATGTGGGTTATTAAATCGTAAACACTGATAATGATAGACAACTAGATGTAAGGTAGCTTGAATAAAAATAAAGCCTACGTTAAATTATTTAAAGAAGCGTACAGCTTGCTATTAGCCTATTTGTTTAAATCCGTAAATTGACTTTAAACGGCAGTGTTTGCAAGCAAGATTTCCTATATAAACAGCAGCCATTTGTAAAATAGAGTTTTACAAAAAAAAAAAAAAACTTAAACAATATGTCTGCTTGATTCTATAGTAAATGAGCATGGTTGCATCTGTTGGAAACATCGCTAGTCTTTATTTATTACTGAAAAGTTTTAATTCAATTGTTTAAAAACATTTATGTAAATTTCAAAACTAATATCCTATTAAAAATTAAAAATGTGAAATAATTAGGCCTACTAAAATTTAAGGAGTCACCTGTTTTTCACATTACGCATCACCTGACTGCAATCTAATAGAGGTCTGTGTCCCCTCTTGTGGTGTTAGTGAGCACTTCCCTGTTTGTTGTACATTTTTGCCGAAAAGATTGGGTGTACCTTCGCGGCAACACATCACTATAAATTATCGCTCTTTAGAAAATTTAATGAAAATCTTTTTCTTGTGGATTTATTGGCTGCCCCCATCTGCAACGTTTACAATTACAATAGTCCAGATCTAGCCATTTCTGAATGGCTTCGTATTTTTTATACTATATATGATAAAAATATACCTAAAATCTCTAAAAGGGTTAAGACTACAAACAAACCTTCTTGGTTTAACAACAATATCAAATCTGCAATTAATAAAAGAGACTGGCTTAGATGATATGGAACTACTGTGGACTTTTTAAGCAACAAAATTATGTCAAACTGCTCGTGCGTAGGTCGAAGAAAGAGTATTTTAATAAGTTATTGTCAGGCAAACCTAATTCCAAATCTATCTGGATTGCCATAAATCAAATAATTAGAAAAAAACGCACATGCGATACAGCTGGACATTGCCAGATATCTGCTGATGACTTCAACTATCATTTCATATCATCTGTAGCGCTCAACACAGATGCTGATTACACTATCAGTGAGGAGCTTAAACATTTTTGTAATTCTGCTCACCGTGGTAGGGCAGAGCTGATAATTCCGCGGCTCACTGTTCATGTTAGCCTAAGCTCTCTTAAACTGTCTACAACAACTTCATTTGACGACATCTACAGTAAAGTATTGAAGATTTCAGCTCCAATAATCTCTGATGTTTTAACCTATATCTATAACCTCTGTATTGCCAAGCAATATTACCCAAAATATTTTAAGCATGCTAAGGATATACCACTACAAAAAAAAGGTAACATCCAAGATGCTAATAACTACAGGCTAATTTCTATACTTTCTTCTCTCTCCAAGCCACTAGAAATACATATAAACAAATGCATGTCAAACTAACTAGAAAGGCATAAGCCTTTCCATAGTATTCAGTCTGGGTTTAGAAAGTTTCATTCTTGTCACACTGCTTTGATTAAAATGAATGAAAACTGGCTTAAAAATATTAACAAAAACCTACTTTGGGGCACGCTGCTCGTCAATTTCAGAAAAGCCTTTGATTCCATTGATCACAGCATACTTCTTAAAAAACTATATCCTTACAAATTCCACGAATTTACAGTTAGGTTACTTCTCTCCTATTTGTCTAACAGATCTCAACGCGTGTTTCACCTTAATACCATCTCTTCACTGAAATATGTCAATATAGGGGTTCCCTAGGGCTCAATCTTAGGTCCTTTTCCTTTTTCATTATACATTAATAATCTTGCATTGCACATCGACGCTGATGATACTTCGTTACATGTCTTTGCAGACAATGCTGACTCAGTTACAAACTTCAAACATGTGCCAATCAGCTTGCTACTTGGACAAAATTTAACAAAAGTAAACTTCACTTCACCCCGATAAAACCAAGTCAATGATTATTACAACTCATCAGAAACGCCTTCATCTACCTTCCACCTCATTACGCATTACTATAGACAATACAAACATTGAACAGGTTGATAGTTACAAATGCCTAGAATTGGTTATAGATCACAATCTCACTTGGTCCAGTCATGTCCATCTTCTAAAAATGTCCCTATTAAAAACAACTATTCAACTAGCAAGGATAATGAACTTTCTGGACTATAGGAGCAAGCTGGTTTTTTATAAAGCTTTTATTCAATCTAGGTTGGATTATGCTTCTGTAGTGTGGAGCGGTAGCTTTATAACTTTATAACTAAGCAGCATCCTCTACTATCACTACAAAAAAGGGCTATAAAACTGGTTACTGGCTTGTCTAGTAGCCTTGATTCTTTTATTACAACTAATATACTTCCATTAAATAAAAAGATTATATATACTAAAGCAATTTTTTTATGTAAAATATTTCACGAAACAGCCCCCTCTTACTAATCAGACCTATTTTCTTTTAACACAAAATTAAATCGTCGTCTTAATTTACCGATCCCATATACAACTTTTTTCCAGAAACATAGCTTCGCCTACTCTGGTTCTAATTTGTGGAACAATCTTCCTAACAAAATAAAACTATCTGATCTGAAAATATATTCAAATTTAAACTGAAAAAACAATTATTTAATGACCTCTCTAACTGACTCATTGAAACATTTCTCATTCATCTATTAGGCCTATATTCTTATTTTATCTCATCTTGTATTATAACTTTGTAATATTATTTCTTTATTCCACATTTTTAGTGCTATGTTACTGCTATATCGATATTAATAATATTATGCTATTGCTTTTTTTAAATGCTGTTATTAAGATGTTGTTTCATTAGTTTATTTTAAAACGGCCAATTAGAAAAAAGGCCTCCGTGCCTACTATTGTTACCGTAATTGAATAAATTGAATACATAAATAAATTAGGTAGCCTAATCTATCGTTTTAGGTAGGCCTACATAAAATCACCTGCGACTTAAAAGTGAAAAACAGGTGACTCCTTAAATTGTAATAATTATTTCACATTTTGAGGAGGATTTATGTTTTGAAAAATACAAAAATGTTTCCTTGTTTCATTTATGTAGATCTGCCAGTTTTTAAACAATTGAATTAAAACTTTTCAGTAGGCCTAATAAATGAAGACTAGCGATATTTCCAACAGACGCAACCATGTTCATTTACTATAGCAGCCATCTTGTTTAAGCTTTTTTTATGTAAACTTATAGCGCAAGATTCAGGGGAAGCCACTCTATTTTACAAAATGATTGCTGTTTATATAGATTCGGCAGTTTGATGAAAAATTAAATTTTTTTTTTTTTTAAAGTATCAGTAATAGCTAGGACAATGGTAAACTAAGTCAATTTAGCATATATAAACTTTCTGTGCAAAGTCATAATGACTGAAAAAAAATTCCAAAGTCATGGGTCCGTGTGGCATAGCTAATGAAGAAAAAACTCCTAGTCCTGTGACCTGATTTCATGAGTGGATATCTAGATAATTTTTTAACATTTTTCAATGAAACTTAACAGAAGCATATAAAAATAGCTTAGAAATGAATGTAGATAGCTAAAAGTAACCAAGATTGATAAATAACTTTAAAAAAAATAATTAATGAATAGGGGTGGCAGATATTGGTAATACAAAAAATTGGCGTTATACCTTATAGTTCCTATTTTAAAATCATCCATATTTAATATTTAGGCCTATGTATTTTAATTACTTAGACTGTGCACACTTATTATTTAGGCAGTTTACAATGTTTAAATTTAAAGTTCATTTCTGGCCTATGTAGTATATTGATATATTTAGCCATTGATTTTGGTTTGTTATTCGGTTATTTATAATATTTGACACAAATATTTCACAATATACTTCTATAATATTAAAGCCTTGACAATGAGGAAACTTTTGCGTACATTACTAGCCGCGGGCAATTAAGCCGAGCAAGTCAGGTGAAGCTTGCCTGGTCACATGACTCCCGCTGAGTCTGGCATGTCCAATGAGCCTTATGGCAAACTAGGTCATGCTTTTCCCCCTCCTTCCAGAGATCTATTTAACATTTTAAACCAAATACCTATTTAATAAGCAATATTTTGAGTTGTGAGCGCAATCTGGGTAAGGGAACCGATAGGGACCAAAAATCATGTAATCACCCCTTTTCTAATTTTAGAAGAGAAAACCCCATTGACATTTACAGTTAGCGATAATATATGTATCTAGAAGCTATTTTTAGCGTAACATTTTACCTAACTGTTGATTGGTTCAAGTTTTGCCGCTAATCCCGAACTCTGTACATCCGAGAGAGTGTAAAAGGAGAAAATGTGTGCCATGCAACTTTTAAAAATTTATAATCAATTTTCAGAAAATCGAAATAGAATGAACTATACATAGACGTGTTCATAAATGATAATACGACGTGCCAAACACTGCGATTTTGCATAAAACAAAAATAAAGTAGCTATAACCGAGTGCGACCGCAGCGTTGCGGTTGGGCATGGTGCAGAAAGGCCTAATAAATTCAATAATAGATAAAAAAATTACCAGCAAGCGGCAGATCACAAAAGCATAGATCTAGATCACATCAAGGTCTAAAAGTAAACTGAGATTAGTGGAGAAGTAGATCTAGTCTAGATCTAGACTAGTTCATTCATGATCTCAACAGCATCCGACATGATAAAGTGACGCGGAAGCAAAATCGTGTGAAGTGTGAAGTGACTAGGGCCCCTTAGGCCTACTGGTAAAAAGATGCTTCGGCAGAAAATACGAAATTCAATTGTTCTGCGCATGCGCAGTGACCTGCGTTAGGGTTAGGGGGTCATCCATTTATGACGTCCACACTTTTTTGGGATTTTGGACCCCCCCCCCCTCCCCCTGTCCACAAACGTCCCCTTTTGACGGACACCCCACCCCCACCCCCCGTGGACGTCCACACTGACTATAATTTTTTGCATAATCTTCTTCCACTATTACTCAAACAACTGCATTAAGTGTGTTTATACTCAGAGTATATATAATATTACAAATACCGGTACAAATGTGTTTTATTGATCTTCGTGTCTAGATTTACAATAAAATGTGTTTACAAAAATATATGATGAAAGCTTGTTTTATTGTAATAGCTTTTATTTGGAATCAAACCAATACTGATTCATTGCTAGGTTTTAAATTGTAATAAATTTTAAAAGTACTTTGGATAAATTAAAAGAATATATTTAGGCTATAGAAAACTATATTAATATTTTTAATTTACAACATTTACAAAATAAACGGTCACGTGTATCAATTTCTGATACTTTTTTTAATATGGAGGAAATAATGCCCACCATCACACAACCTACAAGGAATGAGGGTCCTGGAATACTAGCAGCACTATAAAAGACGCTTATAAGTCACAAATTGTTCTTCTGGCTGCCTCTTTAAATTAAGCCATAGGCTATTAACCTCTTTTTGAAGTTGATATTTCAATTTGGAAGGATAAGCCTTTTGATACAAATCATTTAATTTAGCATATTTCGCGGTGTTTTGACTAGCCATTATTTCGCACACTTGTAGTCGCATTGACACTGTTATATTACTGAGTCCAACGTTGATGCTAGTGTGTATTAACGCCCCCCCCCCCTGTCACACACCTGAACAGGGACAGCGTGCTAACGCCCCCCCCCCCCCTCTCCCGTCTCACTGAACTGGGATGACCCCGCCTACCTAGAGAAGTGTAGGCTAGGGCAATGCAGGTCGCCTGGTATTTGACCTGGGATGCAAATGTGGGGGAACATGTAATTGGATCCTATTGTATTCGAGGTTAAGCCAGGTCATAGACCCAAGCTGGGTGGTGGGCCAGAGAGATAGGACAGTTGAACTTTAGCTTCGCTAGGAAATATTTTTCTTTCACACTACCAAAAATAATGTTAGATTTAATGTGTGGACGTCCACACTGGGCCAACCCCCCTCCCCTGTCAACACAAGTCAATTTTTTTCGGACCCCCCCCCCCCCCCCCCCCCCGTGTGGACGTCATAAATGGATGACCCCTTAGGGACAGGGAGTGTAACACCGCGTTTACACTTATGACATGTATACTAGACATTAATGTGGAGTTTTAACCTCCCCCTACCCTCCGTCGTCCACTTTCGACGAACTATCTCCCCCCCCCCCCATTGTGGACGTCTATAAAAATTTAGCAGACCTCTAAAAACATGCTGCAAAGATACTTATTCATTTATATACCATGTGAACATTAACTGATAATGTAATATAGGGATTTGATATTTTCAATAACATCTAGGTCTATTACTAGGCCTAAATAAGAATTTGAAGTTAAACTTTTCCAAGATGTCCGTAAGTCCAGAGGCGTAGCTAGGGGGGGGGGGGCGGGGGTGCCCCGTGCGCCGACCCAAGGGAAGCACCAAAAGGGTCAGAATTTTTTTTTTAAGCTGCAGGGGAGGGGGGGGGGACTTTCTCGCTGAATAAAATTGGAAGAAATTGGGTCGGCGTGGTCGAGTCGGTAAAGCTCATGTTTGCTAAACCGGAAAGTCTCGAGTTCGAACCCTCGTTCGATGAACGAAGCTGGGGACAGCCACTCTTCTAGGAGAGACAACTCCAAAATTAAACAACTGCTGCCTTGTAGTTTGTTCTTGGAAGAAAAAATAAGAAAAGAAAAGCAGGCTGAAATCGGAGTCATGGCCTCAATTTGACACTAAAATTATGAACCAAGAAGAAACAGAATTAGATGAGTATAAGTAAAGTTCCCTTTCAAACCAGTCTACGGGGAAAGTGAAGTAGAGTTCACTTGTTTCTGTGACCTTGGCATATGAACAGATAGTGTGGTCAGCACTATGCCCAGCTGACATTACTTACCCTAATGTAAGTTAGGTACCCATCAGAGTTGGGTGGACTCAGGGACGGTATACTGACTTGAACCTGAGACTTACAGGTTAGCTATCCAGCTCTCTACCGCTAGACCAATCCGGCATTTAGTCCATTTAGTAAGAATGATGACTAATTCTTTTTAAATGATTTCTGAAAATCACTGCCTATCTGTAATTTATTCGTTTGTGTTATTTTAAAAAAAAACTTTATTAAAATATATAGACTTCTAGCCTATCTAATGATAAAATTAGAACATTTACTCTAAATATTTCAGACATTTATCTTTTTGGCTGAAGTTATGCAAAAATGTCAAATGACACCTGTGACTGTGTTTATGCATGTAGGTGGTGTGATAGTCCAAGAACCATAAATAATTTTTTTTTTAAATTATGATTTGTGTGCAGATCTAGATCTAAATCTAAGTGCTTATAGTGCAGTGTTAATAAAAAAATATAGGAAAGTTGTTGAAAAGTATTGAAGCTGTGAAAACGAAGAGATAGCGAGCCTCAGTCTGTGTTACAAACTGATGCATGATCAAATCAGTGGCGGAACTAGAAAAAAAGGGACACCCCGCAAAAAAAAATTTTGGGCCCCCCCATATATATATATATATATATATATAGGCCTATATATGAAATATATATATATATATATATATATATATATATATATATATATATATATATATATATATATGTATATATATATGTATATATATATATATGTGTGTGTGTGTGTATATATATATATATATATATATATATATATATATATATATATATATATATATATATATATATATATATATATATATATATATGTGTGTGTGTGTGTATGTATATATATACAATCACATGGGATGCTCATTACTGGCCTGTTCGGGATTTAAAGAACATCTATTAAAAAATGTCAACATCATGTCATGTGTGTAAGTGCATTGCATAGTGTTTTGTGAAAATCAGTTTTAATTAATGTCTGATAGAAGTCCCCTTATTATCTAGTCGGTCAAAATAATCTAAAACATGAAAGGTTTGTATAAGTAATGGTGTCTCGTGTTATGATTATTTTTATGTTTTTTTTTAATTTATATTATTAATTTTTAAAATATTATTGATTCAATACATTTCCTTTTTATACGATGTCATTATTTAGAAATTACTTTATAAAAAAATAATAATTAAGAGAAATAATTGCTTTTTAATTTGTTTAGTACAAATCTATTAAAAGGAGCTTATGTTCTCCCCTATTTGACTATTTTTCAAAAAGGGAAATAAGTCATGGAAGTTGTTTGAACATTTGCTTATCTTTGAAAAGTTTAATTGTAGGAGAAAGACTCGGCTTTCACAGTGGTTTAAAATCAAAGGGAAAAAGAATATACAAGAGCGTAGGGTGTTGTCTATAGAATAAAGATAATCCAACCCCAGCTACGGTAATTTTTTTTACAAAACAACCATCAAGTCAAAAATGAAAGAAAATTTACTTTTTTTTTAACTATAAAAAAAAAAATGTATTAATGGTCGGCTCTGGGCCCCTAAATGGCGTGGGCCCCCCCGCATTGCGGGGTCTGGCGGCACTGTAGTTCCGCCCCTGGATCAAATGACCCTTAAGAAAAATTGCCTAAGTCCACTATAAATACACATTAAAACAAATTTAATTGACCAAACCGAGAATAGTCTAGAAATTATTTGAAAGGCCCATCAATTATTTTAATTTGTTTAAAAATCATGTATTGGTAGGCACAATGTTACTAAAATAAATATGGTTATAAAACATATGACTGATTTTTGTTGGATTTAACTAAAGATTGGATGTAGGGCCTATTTGATGTCTTTAGCATTGACAGTTACTAAACAAAAAGACACCTGAAACAATTTGTTGTGTACATTTAATCACTGAAAATGACAACAAACATGACTGAACTAAGTTGTATGGTTTTAAAAAAATTTATTTAGGCCCCTAAAAATTGTATTGACTTAAATAATTGACAAAGTTTTGAGTACAAATTAAATACTATAACATTTTTATTAAGTGTAATTTTGAGAGGATCTATCTCAGAGATCAATACAGCCAATCAAGATTTGTCTTACAAAAGTGAAACTTCGGAGTTCCTTGTTTCATTTATGCACCTGTTTTTAAACAGGTCTAGTGTCCAACTGACTGTCAGCAAATTTTCTACCACACCTACTCTCATTGTTATCTGAGTATTTTCATCCCGTTTTATTAAAGTTGTTTTTTTTTACAGTATAATATTTTTTGTGAGTCTTGAAAATAAAATAACGTGTGTATGGAACTCAAGACAAGAGCCTTCTTCTTTCTTCTTCTTCTTCGTTCTTAATTATTAGTGTTGAAGGGGATCGAGATTTATCTGCCAGTGGGTTTGAACTCGAGGCTTTTGTTCGAATTTATCAACCATGAGCTTTTTGCCGACTCGACCACGCCTCCAACACAATTAAGCATTACGTGTCAACTGGTTATGCGCCATTGAGGCCATTGACTCAGATTTCAGCCTGCTTTTCTTTTTGGATTTGCTTCCATAGCCTTTGTCCAACCAAGAACAAACTACAAGGCAGCAGTTGTTTAATTTTGGAGTTGTCTCTCCTAGAAGAGTGGCTGTCCCCAGCTAACGAGCCTCATCTGCCCGAGGGTTCGAACTCGAGACTTTTCGGTTTAGCAACCATGAGCTTTACCGACTCGACCACGCAGAAATCTTGACACCAAATCTTGACATTAAAAGAGCCGCATGCGGCTCGACGCAAGCCAACCCCTGTAATAATACAAATATAAAAATTGATAAACTATGGCCCACTATTGGATAACCGCTAGTTAAAGTTATGTGATGAGAAAAAATTATAAAAGGATATTTAATAATAATTTGCTCTAGAATTAATTTATTTAGTTAAAAATTAATTTAAAAAGTTCCCTTTCCAAACCTGACGGTCTATAGGGCAAGTGAAGTAGAGTTCACTTGTTTCTGTGACCTTGGCATATGAAGAGATAGTGTGGTCAGCACTATGCCCAGCCGCCTTTACTTTCCCTAACGTGAGTTAGGTACCCATCATAGTTGGGTGGGCTCAGGGACAGTAGATTGACTTCAACCTGGATACAAACTCGAGACTTACGGGTAAGCAGTCCAGCTCTCTACAGCTAGACCACTCCGTTCCCAAATTGGTGTTAAGTCATGATGAATTACCTACCTTACCTCAAAAATGAATTTTTTATGAGTATTAAAATGAGATATTTGAGAAAATCTTTTGTAATAAACATCCAATTTCAAGTGGCTTCTCTTCCTGATTGATTTTTCTCATGTGCATATAGACTAAAACTAAATAAAACTTTGAGAAAATCTTTTATGACAAAAACCAGATTAATGCGGCTTGTCTCTTGAGTGACTTTACAAGTGCACTTATATAAGAACTTAGAGAAAATCTTTTATACATACATATGGCTTATAACCTGTAAGAACACATATGGCATAACAAATTATTCTTCTGAGTCAACTTTTTGTGACAAATATCACATTCATGTGGCTTTTCTCTATAATGATTTTTTTGTGTGTGAAGATAAACAAGAAATTTGAGAAAACCATGGATGTCAAACATTACATTCTAGTGGCCTTTCTCCTGAATGAACCTTTTTATGTGTTCTTAAATTACCTCTTTGAGAAAACCTTTTATGACAAACATCACATTCATGTGGCCTTTCTCCTAAATGAACCTTTTTATGTGTTCTTAAATTGGAACTTTGAGAAAACCTTCTATGACAAACATCACATTCATGTGGTTTATCTCCAGAATGAACTTTTTTATGTTCACTTAACTTGTAACTTTGAGAAAACCTTTTATGACAAACATCACATTCATATTGCTTATCTTCAGAATGAACAATTTTATGACGTAATAGATCCTTCATATCCACAAAATTTTTATGACAAACATCACATTCATGAGGCCTTTCTTCTGAATGAACCTTTTTATGTTTTCTTAAATAAGAACTTTGAGAAAACCTTTTATGACAAACATCACATTCATGTGGTTTATCTCCAGAATGAATAAATTTATGTCGTAATAGACCCTTCTTATCACTAACTTTTTTGTGACAAACATCACATTCATAACGCCTTTCTCCTGAATGAATCTGTATAATATGTCTTCTTAAATTAGAACTTTGAGAAAACCTTTGATGACAAACATCACATTCATGCGACTTATCTTCTGAATGAACTTTTTTATGTTGTAATAGACCATTATTATCACTAACTTTTTTGTGACAAACATCACATTCATAACGCCTTTCTCCTGAATGAATCTGTATAATATGTCTTCTTAAATTAGAACTTTGAGAAAACCTTTGATGACAAACATCACATTCATGCGACTTATCTTCTGAATGAACTTTTTTATGTCGTAATAGACCATTATTATCACTAAATCTTTTGTGACAAACATCACATTCATGTGGCTTTTCTCCTGAATGAATCGTTCTATGTTTTCTTAAATTAGAACTTTGAGAAAACCTTTTATGACAAACATCACATTCATGTGGTTTATCTCCTGAATGGACATTTTTATGCATATTAATATTAGAACTTTGAGAAAATATTTGCTGACAATGAACCACCTTATTTTTGTCCATAGACATTTGTAGATTTTCTTCAAGTCCATTTTGTTGTTTGTCCTCACAAAATATAAATTCTTTAGCCAAGTCTTGTTTTAAATTTTCAGTAGTTGACAATTCTGGTTTTAAATTTTCAGATGTTGAAAATACTGCTGTTGCAGGAGGTTTCTTATTCATTTTTTCAATTGAAAATGTAATATCAGGATTAAAATTTTGAGAAGTATTAAATGAATTGTTGGGTTTTATATCCTGGAAATTAAAAAATGATAATTCTGGTTTTATGTCATCAGAAGTAGAAAATTCTGGTGTAACATCAGGTTTAACATCTTGAGGGTTTTTAAATGTGATATCAGGTTTTATATCCTGGAAATAAAACAATGTTGATAATTCTGCTTTTACGTCATCAGAAGAAGAAAATTCTGGTGTAACATCAGGTTTAACATCTTGATGGGTTTTAAATGTCATGTCAGGTTTTATATCCTGGAAATTAAAAAATGTTAATTCTGTTTTTATGTCTTCAGAAGATGATAATACTATGGTTGATATATCAGGTTTTAAATCTTCATAAGATGAAAACTTTGTTAATTTATTTGTCTGTATATCTACAGTAGATAAAACTGCAGATAACACATCTGTTTTAACCTCCATGCTTGACAGCTTCTTAGAAATGAACTGACGATTAAAAAAAACATAAATGTTAAACCAATGTAAATGTTAGTCAAAACAACTTTAATAACATGGCAATAATTGCAACATATGCCAGACTTTTGTTAATCTGATTACTAAGATTTGATATGAAAATAGATGAGCAGTAATGCAAATCCTTAAGAACTGCAGATTAATATCTTGAGCTACCAGTTATTTTTAAACTATTTATAAAAATAGGAATACTAAGATATTAACAATAACAAAAATCAAAACTTGATTTGCTGTTGTTAGTTTTTAATTGTAAATAATAAGTGCTTTATCTTATCCAAATATGTAATAAAAGTTTAAAAATTAATTTTAATTACAGTTGGAAAATGTAATAAACAACTTAATGAACACTTGCTCTCTTCAGGTAGCTTGGTACTAATTTGCACTAAATGTTTTTTAGTTTTGTTACAGAATAGGACTTGTAAGTTTTTGTTCTCTCTCACTTAAATTCAAATCCAGTTAGCCAGGGAGAGATCAAATTTGAACCAAATCAATTGTTGTGAACGGGATTCCTATTGATAACAAAAAAAAGGGCGGCTTTAAAAATCATAAAAAGTTGCCATAAAGCCACATTTGCAATAACTTTTTTATTTGTATGGCAGGGAACAAATATATGTGCTTGCATAAAAGTTGTGTGGTGGTAAGTATATGGATTTAATAATTTTTTTTTTTAAATAAGTATAACAGTAAAAATATATAGGCATATAATCCTAGTGAATATGGTACCCATGGTTAGTTTAATATAATCAACAAGCTACAGCAAACAAAAACGTAGCTGACATATTATAATCGTACATGTGAATGAAATTATACCTATATTCTTGCACATAATGTGCTTTAAATTTGCTAGTATAACAAAAAAAAAGGGGAATTTTTTTTAACATATAGCAAATGTAAATGTTATGATTGAGTAGCCCACTAAGTTATCAAACTAATGATAATGTCTTAGCTTCTTTAATATGGACATTAGTATCAATTATTTTTTTACATTAAACCTGAAAATATTAGTTCATGTGATGGAAAATGTTATAGACCTAGACCCGATAAGCTTAAATTAGAAGGGGTCTACTAAATATTTAAAAGGGGTTTTGGAATTACTTGAAAAACATTTGAGCCAAAAATCACCACCTTGATAATAACCAAGCCACATCAATATGTTACAGTTATATGTAGGCCTATGCTTTTAGAGCCTAATAGTAGTAGCAGACTGCTATTACAATTTGAATTTGTTACCTGTATCTCTCCCTCCTTCCCAAACAAGAAACGGTAGAAAGATCAGTCAGTTCATTTCAGGTCAGAATATAGTAGGCCTAGAGCACATGTCACAGCAGGAACAAAAATGCTATTTAAGATTGGCCGTGACGTCATTGCAATAGCAATTGTCCATGCTATGATGATTGCTCTAGGGCTGCTGATATAACTGAACTTACAGTGAACCCTCCACTTGTCAAGATTTTTTTAAACAAGAAAACGGGGCGGCGATTACGCTGGTGATGACGATGTTTGAAATTTGCCCACATTAATGTGGGTTATTAAATCGTAAACACTGATAATGATAGACAACTAGATGTAAGGCAGGTAGCTTGAATAAAAATAAAGCCTACGTTAAATTTTTTTAAAGAAGCATACAGCTTGCTATTAGCCTATTTGTTTGAATCCGTAAATATAGGCCAGAAATTGACTTTAAACGGCAGTGTTTGCAAGCAAGATTTGCTATATAAACAACAGCGATTTGTAAAATAGAGTGGCTTCCCCTGAATCTTGGGCCATAAATTTACAAAAAAAAAACAACTTAAACAAGATGTCTGCTTGATTCTATAGTAAATGAGCATGGTTGCATCTGTTGGAAACATCGCTAGTCTTCATTTATTACTGAAAAGTTTTAATTCAATTGTTTAAAAACATTTTTGTAAATTTCAAAACTAAAATCCTCCTAAAAATTAAAAATGTGAAATAATTAGGCCTACTAAAATGTAAGGAGTCACCCGTTTTTCACACATTACGCATCACCTGACAGCAATCTAATAGAGGTCTGTGTCCCCTCTTGTGGTGTTAGTGACCACTTCCCTGTTTGTTGTACATTTTTGCCGAAAAGATTGGGTGTACCTTCGCGGCAACACATCACTATAAATTATCGCTCTTTAGAAAATTTAATGAAAATCTTTTTCTTGTGGATTTATTGGCTGCCCCCTTCTGCAACATTTACAATTCTCAAGATCTAGCCATTTCTGAATGGCTTCGTATTTTTTATACTATATATGATAAAAATATACCTAAAATCTCTAAAAGGGTTAAGACTACAAACAAACCTTCTTGGTTTAACAACATCGAATCTGCAATTAATAAAAGAGACTGGCTTAAACGTTATGGAACTTCTGAGGACTTTTGTAGGCAACCACATTATGTCAAACTGCTCGTGCGTAGGTCGAAGAAGGAGTATTTTAATAAGCTGCTGTAAGGCAAACCTAATTCCAAATCTATCTGGATTGCCATAAATCAAATAATCAGAAAAAAACACACATGCGATACAACTGGACATTGCCAGATATCTGCTGATGACTTCAACAATCATTTCATATTATCTGTAGCGCTCAACACAGATGCTGATTACACTATCAGTGAGGAGCTTAAACATTTTTGTAATTCTGCTCACCGTGGTAGGGCAGAGCTGATAATTCCGCGGCTCACTGTTCATGTTAGCCTAAGATCTCTTAAACCGTCTACAACAACTTCGTTTGACGACATCTCCAGTAAAGTATTGAAGATTTCAGCTCCAATAATCTCTGAAGTTTTAACCTATATCTATAACCTCTGTATTGCCAAGCAATATTACCCGAAACATTTTAAGCATGCTAAGGTTATACCACTACACAAAAAAGGTAACATCCAAGATACTAATAACTACAGGCCAATTTCTATACTTTCTTCTCTCTCCAAGCCACTAGAAATACATATAAAAAATGCATGTCAAACTAACTAGAAAGGCATAAGCCTTTCCATAGTATTCAGTCTGGGTTTAGAAAGTTTCATTCTTGTCACACTGCTTTGATTAAAATGAATGAAAACTGGCTTAAAAATATTAACAAAAACCTACTTTGTGGCACGCTGCTCGTCAATTTCAGAAAAGCCTTTGATTCCATTGATCACAGCATACTTTTTAAAAAACTATATCCTTACAAATTCCACGAATTTACAGTTAGGTTACTTCTCTCCTTTTTGTCTAACAGATCTCAACGCGTGTTTCACCTTAATACCATCTCTTCACTGAAATATGTTAATATAGGGGTTCAGTAGGGCTCAATCTTAGGTCCTTTTCTTTTTTCATTATACATTAATGATCTTGCATTGCACATTGACGCAGGTCAGTGCGAGATGTTCGCTGATGATACTTCGTTACATGTCTTTGCAGACAGCGCTGACTCACTTAGTTACAAACTTCAAACATGTGCCAATCAGCTTGTTACTTGGACAAAATTGAACAAAATGAAACTTCACCCCGATAAAACTAAGTCAATGATTATTACAACTCATCAGAAACACCTTCGTCTACCTTCCACCTCATTACGCATTACTATAGACAATACAAACATTGAACAGGTTGATAGTTACAAATGCCTAGAATTGGTTATAGATCACAATCTCACTTGGTCCAGTCATATCCATCTTCTAAAAATGTCCCTATTAAAAACAACTTTTCAACTAGCAAGGATAATGAACTTTCTGGACTATAGGAGCAAGCTGGTTTTTTATAAAGCTTTTATTCAATCTAGGTTGGATTATGCTTCTGTAGTGTGGAGCGGTAGCTTTATAACTTTATAACTAAGCAGCATCCTCTACTATCACTACACAAAAGGGCTATAAAACTGGTTACTGGCTTGTCTAGTAGCCTTGATTCTTTTATTACAACTAATATACTTCCACTAAATAAAAAGATTATATATACTAAAGCAATTTTTTTATGTAAAATATTTCACGAAACAGCCCCCTCTTACTAATCAGACCTATTTTCTTTTAACACAAAATTAAATCGTCGTCTTAATTTACCGATCCCATATACAACTTTTTTCCAGAAACATAGCTTCGCCTACTCTGGTTCTAATGTGTGGAACAATCTTCCTAACAAAATAAAACTATCTGATCTGAAAATATATTCAAATCTAAACTGAAAAAACAATTATTTAATGACCTCTCTAACTGACTCATTGAAACATTTCTCATTCATCTATTAGGCCTATATTCTTATTTTATCTCATCTTGTATTATAACTTTGTAATATTATTTCTTTATTCCACATTTTTAGTGCTATGTTACTGCTATGTGGTTACTATGCTATTGCTTTTTACTTTCTCGTATATACGTAGTATAGAGAAAGTATTGTAATCGTGCAAAAAAAAAATCGAGATTTTTACAAATCTCGACGTTTTACACCTCACTGATACGGAAAAACATAATTTTGCAATCTTGTCCGTATGTCTGTGTGTGTGTGTCTGTCCGTGTGTGTGTCTGTGTGTAAACACGATAACTTGAGTACCGTTACAGCTAGGTTGATGAAATTTCATATATAAGGACTCTATCAAATTCGTAGATCCGTATCAACTTTTGAGCGATTTCCGATAACCGGAAGTGGTACTTTTCCTACTTTGAATTTTTTAAAAGCCTATAACTTGAGTACTATTTCAGATAGATAAATGAAATTTCACATGTAAGTAAAAGATCTAATTCTCTACCTTCTGTTAAATTTTGAGTAATTTCCGTTGACTGGAAGTAGTAATTTACGCTACTTCCGATTTCTCAAAAAACTAATGTAAATTTTAAAAGTACTAATAATATTGCGCACTATTATGCGCTTTTTTTTATTTGCGTTCACTTGGTGTGCAATTAATTTGTCTACGAGATTTTATTCTATTTTTAAAACTTTAAGTATTTAAAATGGATTAAAAATCATGTCTATAGCCCGAGTTCCCATCCCCTGTTAT